AAATATATTATTTGTGATATGTGAAAGGAAATTTTCCAAAAAAAATAGATTTAAAATGCAAATGGACTAAAAATATGAAGGAAATCAGAGGTTACATTAATGGTAACATAAAAATGAAATTGTAGATACAATTGGGGGGTTTTTGCACATATCGTCTGAAGCCACAGCAACTATGACACACTGAAAATTGTTGAAGAAAAGTCATGTATTACAGTGGTGTGTAAATTGTTTGCCAATTACCCACAAATATCTCAAACTGTAGGTGGACAGCAGCCATATTATCAGTTCCTTTCCTTTCTTGGCAGATGGTTTTTTTCATCAAACCTAAGGCAATTTTGAAGGAAACCAAATCTCCTCAGTGTCGTCATTATTCTACAAACCTCAAGCCCATACCCTTCATTTTTCCATCACTCTTTTACATTCTGGTGATTATTATAAGAAAGCCATGCTAGGTACAGAAGATCTATGAATGTTTTCAGTTCAGCTAATGAGGTGTCATAATAAACACATTTTTGAGTATGGCTACTGATACATACAGAAAATTTAACTTACATTTCACAACATCTTGTAGCATTTCATTTCTTACAAATGATTTCCAAAATTGAATGGCAGTGCTGGGATTCTATCCAATAGATTTCACCCCTACCAAGATACTAAGATCCTCAGTATATTTTTGGACCTATTTCTATCATTGGATCATTCCATTTGTTTTCATGACCATGTTGCACCATTTCAACCAGTCAAGTGTATACTTATATTACTCCTTTGTTCATAGTGTGAATCAAGTAGGTCTGCATTCCCTGTGTATTGCTCCATTTCACTGGCCCAGGATTGTTGACTCAGATGGCCAATGTCAAAGGCATTATCATCTTCATCGTCCATGCATGAATAATCTGATGATTCACTTTTGACCTCCTCCAAAACTTGCAAATCTGTTTTGTCACGTGCCTTTGTACTGAATTGGGCTAATTCTATCAGAAAAATCAAAAGAAAACATTTTATAAAATACATCTTAAATGTATAGAAATTTAGCAATGATCATTTCATTGATGGCAGTAAAACGTTGTCAATATGACTGAAAAAGTGCATAAATCATATAATATTATTGAAAAACTTCCTTTTATTTCCCTAGATAATTAAAGGTGAAGCTCAAAAGTTATTCTGATAAAATCTAGGATCTCTATGTACATTACAGAGAAGGCCAGGATAAGTGTTTTGCATTGTGACTATTAGTGAATAAGCCAAAAGAAATCTGTCTTTGGCCAGTGAGTTATGCTATAATTTGAATAGACTGCATTGTTTCTTTCAGACTCAGATTAAAATCACAGTCCTGATTTAAGTTAAATTCAGAAATTCTGTACTTTCTGAATTACTGACATTGAGGCACAAAGACACACCTGAGTCTGCTGCATTGGCAGGGCCTTGGGCCTTGCTGCACACTGTACACTTGGGTGAACAGGGTCCCTCTGAGAGGATGCAACTCAGCTGTCACCTCCTGGTGGTTTTGCAGTTAGATGTTCTGCATCAGCAAAAGCCAGTCTGGTTTTTGAGAAAGACATGAACATGTTTCACATCAGTAGTTCACATGGTTTCCATGTACAGGACTCACTGTGCTGTCTCATTATTGTTATTTTGTTTAGTGGATGGCTGGCTGTTTTTTGTACTGGGAATCAAACTCAGGACCTTATGCTTGCCAGGCAGGCACAGCACCACTGAGTTACATTTCTGGGCCTCAACATTTGCATTTGTATTCAATAAATGAAACACAAAAATTGGTTAATAAATGATCCAAAATGAAATCTGATCACAAAAAACAACCAATCTTTTTTAAGCTAAGCCACCAAGGGAGAGATGCTTTGATTTAGGAGAACACCAGGTGACTCCATGACCTACATGTTAGCTTTGTAGGCTGCAGGTTCTGAGCTCAGATGTCTCTTAGGTGTTTTCTTCCTAGAGCCACACATGGATATGTGCACCCCAGGCCTTCCCAAAGTGAGAGCTAAGAAGACTTTGTGCCACTGTGGATGGCCTCTGTCCGCCATAAACACAAGGTAGTGTTAGATAAAGTGCACACAATGAGCAGGCAAGGCTGGCAGGAGCCTCCTCAGACCCTGCTTCATGTCCCCATTCCTCAGAGTGTAGATGACGGGATTCAGGATTGGAGGAAGCACAACATAGATCACAGGAAGCAGCCTGCCAATAACTGGAGGTGCATCTGAAGGTGGCCTCAGGTAAACCATGAATGCACTGATCATAAAAACAGTGAAGACAACAAGATGTGGGAGGCAGGTGGAGAAAGATTTTGACTGACCTTTCCTGGATGGAATCCTCAGTACAGTGGAGAGAATGTGAACATAAGAGAACACAATGAAAACACAACAGGAGGGGCTCAGACAAACCCTGATCCCCATGCTGGAATAGACCACCAGGAGCATGTCAGTGCAGGAAATCATGAATAAGGAGGGAACATTGAAGAAAAACTCTGGGATCGCACTGCAGCCACAGAAGGGCCCAAAAAATGTGCCAGCAGTGTACATGGCTCCAGAGAGCGCCACCATTGCCCAGGAAAATCCTGCCCTCAGCACAAAGGCATTGCCATTCACAGTAGCCTCATAGTGCAGGGGACAGCAGATGGCCACATAGTGGTCATAGGACATGACAGTGAGGACACATGTCTCACTTGCTGAGAAGGAGGTCATTAAAAGGAGCTGGAAGGCACAGCCTGGAATAAAAATGGAATTGTTGTGAAGCAGACTGTTGAGGATGAACTTGGGATTGGGACAGACATCAGGGAGACATCCAGCAAGGACAAGTTCTTCAAGAGGAAGAACATGGTGCTTGGGGCTGTGGGTCCAGGGTCAGGACAGTGACAATGAGAGGGTTATTTATCAGGGCCACCAGGTACATCAGCAGGAAGAGCAGGCCACAGAGAGTCTGCAGCTCCGGTCCCTCAGAACCCCAAGAGAAGGAGAATGGTCACCAAGTTGGCATTGAACACATTAGAGCCTCCTCACTTCCTGTCAAGGTGAGGACATACAAAAAAGAGAAAAAGTAATAATCAGCCCCCAAAGAGTGATATTAAATTCAGAACCATTCAGTTGTAAAGGAAACATCTTAAAAACTTTTCTGCATTTCCTTAAAAATTTATTTCCTTCCTCCCTACCTCCTTCAGTTTTTTTCTTACCATCCTCTTTGGTATCCCTCCCCTCCCCTCTCTTATGCCTCCCTCTCCCATGCCTTCCTTTTCTAGCTAAGGATTGAACTACATGGGGCAATGCTAACAATAAATGATCTAGCACAAAGCTACATGCCAAATGGCTACTATTTTTTATATGGAACAATTAATAAGATAATACATATGGTGAGGTGGCCTTGGCTTTGGTTTTAGAGTTTTGACACTCAGAGGTTTGGGAAGAAGTTTTCTGGCTTTGGGGGTTGACTTATTTCCCCTCCAGATGTAAAGAATTCTTTCCTGATTACTTAGAATATTTCAGATAGCTAGAAGGCAAGATTGTAAATGTACTCACAACAAAGAGAGGAAAAATTGTTCATTTGATCCCTGTGTTAATTACTTTGATAAGATCTTTAAATGATGTGCACAGGCATGAAACAGCACACTACCCTCAGTAACATTACAATTAATAAGAAATAGACACAATATAAAGACAAAGTGACACCAACTAGTCATTATAAGAGCTCAACCCATGGGGTAACCTCAACTTAACCTTGTTTTGAGATGAATACAACTTCTCTAAACAAGGAATCTCTCCCAACTCACTGGGGGTTTATAATTAATTATTACTAAACTGTATTTCAATGCAAACATTTTTCTACCAGAAAATGTATAAAGTCCCATGTCTTTAGAGTTTGTTACTATCCTCGATATTGTGTACTGAAGCAAAACATATGTTCTCGTATGTTGCTATGATCAAGAACTCACACATACTTTTATATTAAACAGTGCAACACAGGCAAATAACTTGCTCCATCCTCAATGATGTGAGCAACAGGATGTAAGTGAAGCTTTGTTGATCAATGTCTATATTATCTTCAGCTCATGTGATCCTAATACATTGAACAGGACCAGGAGAAGAAAAATGAGTTATTCCACACAGTTCATGTTCTTTGGGTCACACATGTGTACTACAGCCTTGGTATGAGGCTTTGTGGTGTTTGATTTATCAAAGGTGACCATGACAGAATATATTTCTCATTTTGTCTGATTATTTTCCCATGATGTCACAGTTTCTGTCATTTACTTTTTAATGGTATTAAATAGAATCTTTCTATGTTCAGAATATTTCCATAGATTATTGATTACTAATAGAGTTGTCTATCAATTCTTTACTGACAGCACAAAAAGGTGCCCCAGACATGAACTAAATGATAGAGATAAATTTTTTTCTGGGAGCTTGCTCTACATTAGAGGAGACATAAAAGAAGAACAAATGAAAAAAATAAATATGAAAATGTCTGAGGTAGTGACAGGTGTTAAGATAAGACAAGGTGTTATTTTGGAGATTAAGCTTGGGGAAGAGTTTTTACCTGGGTGACCCAGGTGCAGACACTAAAATGCAGAGAATGAGCTCATGGACAAGAGCTGTGTGGAGGATGACTTAGGACACAGCTCAAAATCAGTGCAAGTTTTGGGCATCTGGGTCACCTGGGGAGAAGCAGGCTGTGGTGACTCTGTAGATCAGGGGTGGGTGGGGGAGGAGAAAACCCTGTGGGTCAGCCCATTCCAAAGGCAAGTCTGGGCAAATAAACATGGTGCAGACAGGAGAACAAAACTGGATAAATCAGCTGTTAAAATTATATTTTGGCTCTTTCCTAAAATTCCTTACTCTACAAAAAATTTAAAAATCTCTTTGAAATGGAGCATTTTAACATTTTCTCCAAAGAAATCTGAAATATATACCTTAAAATAATTCCAGTTCTTCAATCACCCAAACAAAGGCTTACTTTTCAAATGTATTTTTAGGAAATGATTCCAATAGGTGTACTGGAATGCAAATATTTTGACTTGAAAGTGAGTTTGAACATCAAGCTTTGGAAACTGTCTTCATGGCATACAGGCACACCTCCAGGCTGTTGGTGCAACAGAAAGATTCCTGTTAAAATATGGAGATTTCACAGGGAAGGATGCAAAGTAAAGCAAGTCCTTTGTCTTTTGTAAATTTCAAGTCTTGCATCACTTGAAAACCTCTGCAGGTACAAGGTATCTAGAAGATCTTTGTAAAGACAATTCACTCATACCTAGGATCCTCCAAGGAAAAGGTCTGAATAGCCTTATTAAGTGGTTACTTCTCAAGACCATTAGCATTATGACCACTATTGTTTTCTATACACAGATTTGCTGGCCACAGAAATCATTCTGAAACAACATCATGAAGGGCATGGCTGTGATATTCACCAGTACTATTGTAAACTGATTAAATACTCCCTTAGTTCCATTTATCATAGAATTACACAATCTAGAAGAGTTGTAAGAAAAAGTCTATAATGTGGGCAATTCATTTATAATGGAGATATGAATATTTCCCCCTGTCAAATATTCCTAATAACATTCTTTTCTTAATGAATTTGACTCAGAAGATCCCAAGAGAAGTTTACTGTGTGCATTTGGTCAATAAGCTTGGTGGGCCCAAGGACAGATAAATCTTATAGAAACTTTGAAAAACTTTGTTATGCAAAACCAAAGTTCAATGACATGAAAAGTAAAATAAATTATAATGGTCATCTTTTAAAACCCCCCACTGTGGAGCAGTGAAAATGAAATGACTTTTAAAGATAGAGCCAGAAGAATTTTAAAATTATCTTTGTGTTTCTGTTTTGCCCTCTAAAATAAATTTTAAATAAATTAGCTAAAATCTTTTAGTCATGTTCTTCCAAAATAATTTTGGCTATAGGAAATATAGTTAGCAAAATGCCATTTATTTTGTACATAGTTCCAGAAAAAATTTTAAAATTTAGAAAGCTTGATTTCTCCACCATGGAGAATTAGTGGTACACCTGGGTGTATAGAGAAGTAAATTATACTTTTAATACGCATTTCCAGTTTGCATTACTAAGATTACCTATTTATATTCTTGAATATAGTCTATTTTTCATGAACATGCACCAACTGGAATTTTTCCTAAGAGAGAAACAAATTATAAAGTGAAAGGAAAGTCAGTATTGTACTTTGAGTAAGGAGTTGCACACCTCTGGCATGTAGGATCAATAAAGTCCCCAACATTTGAATTAAAATATTGTTCATTTCATTAAATTATGAGAATCACAATAATATGAAATATGACTTTAAATACGACTTTTTGTTTATAACACAGTGTAGTTTCTTAAATATGGAAGTATTTCAAACTTTAAAATACTTGCATGCATATTTTACTGAACTCTCAAAGAACCTTTATGAAGATGTCTGATCTTTAAAATGCTTGCACCAGTTCAGACGTGAAACCTAATGAATGTTTTCCCTTCCAGTGAGTGTGAAGCTAATGAGCACAACCATAAGATGAAAGAATGGAGAAAGATTGGTTACCTTCATGAGGTAAGTATCCCAGTGACCTACACAATGAGCCTCTCCTTATGGGACAGTAGTAGGGGCTTTCTGGGGAGAGCACCCAGGAAAGGCTGTAGTTCAAACAGGGCACATTCTGCACATACTCCACTCTGGTCTGACAACATAACTTGCTGGGAAGGTCAGGGTAGTGAATGGGGACACTTCTCAAGACTCAGATGCAAAAGGAAGAAAAAGAACACCAAACACTCTGAATTTGCATTAATGTAGGAGTTTGACCATAAAGATGTTGGTCTCATGGAATGAATGACAGAATCAGAAGGGGGAAAATTGAATATTGATGTAATAATTTTATCTAGTTTTGATTCTTTTCCTGGTTCATTTGTACCACTAATGTCATTTATTTACAACATTCTCTCCTTCCAGAAAAGGATGCAGTCTAGGATCATCCATGGTGCTTATTTACTGTGTTCCTTTCATCTTATGTATACTAAAACAGTGCTTCATTATTTTTTTTACATTCATGAATTTGACATTTTATAAACTATAGGATAATTATATAAGAAAATGTGTCCTTATCTGGGACTGTGTCCTCTTCCCTTATAATTGCTCTTAGTTTAGCATCCTTAGTTTGTGAGCTATACTTTTAGTATGACCCTCAAACAAAAAGGCCCACTTTGTGCCTGTCCTTATTTTGCTCAGAGTGTGAGGAATCATTGATGCATTTGTTAGTTTTTCTTTGTACTTTTTTGGGTTTTTTTCATTAAGATTATTGGTACATTTTAGCTGTACAATACAGTTACATTCATCATTGGGATCTTGTATCTTTACATGATGTATCTTGGTTCTTATTTTTTCCTCTTCCCCTGCCCTCCCTTCAACCCTTCCACCTTTCCCTACTTAAAAAGACTTTGTTTATATTTTTTTCTTTTCTCATATTTTTCTTATTCTTTCTTTCCTTTCTCCTACTCCTTCTTCCTCCCCTACTCTTTTAGACCATTTCTATTTCAAATTATCAATCATACATTTTGATCCTCATATACACGTTTAGTTTTTCCCACCAGAGAACCTATTTGGTATTTACATATGTGTGTCCTATTTATTTCACTTAAAACTATGGCCTCAATGTGCATCCACTTAGTTATAAATGTCTCTAGTATCTCATGCTTTATGACTGAGTAGTACTCCATTTTATTAAAAAAAACCCCACATCATCTTTATCCAGTCTCCAACTGATGAACAATTGGGATGTTTCCAAGTTTTAGTTATTACAAACTGCCACTATGAACATGGGTATGCATATAATGCTGTGGCATGATTCTTTTAATTCTTTTGGGAAAATATCCAGCAGGGGAATAGCTGGGTTAAATGGAACCTCTAAGCCTAGTTTTTTGAGGGATCTCCATATTGACTTCCACAATAGTTGCACTAGTCTGCACTCCCACCAACAATGGAGAAGGGTTCCTTTCATCCCAAACTCTGCCAGCATTTG